TTCTGTAATAATCGGCCCCAAATAGCTAGGATTAATAACTGACAGCTTCCTTACTAGTGATCCCTGTTTCCAATTTAGGACCAACCAGACAAAGTGAAATATGTACCCCTAACCAAGCACATAGGAAGCCCTGCTTCTAATTAGCCTGCCTGTAGCTTCTCCATGCCAACAGCCTCCAAAGGGGTAACACCTTAAGCCTTTCCTTTACTCCACAAGGTGGCTTACCCACTCCTCCACCAAAACAAAAGGCTAACTCCTACAGCAAGTTCAGAATAAATAATGTTTGCTTTCACCATTTGGTTGATCTTTGCTTATTTCCACAATTGTATTATTTCATCTTCAACCAGGATGATTCCAATCATCCTGGTTGAAGATGAAATATTAATTTAAGCTGGATCTGAAGGAGCAAGGAATGCCCAAGGGAGAGCTTTGTCATAGACTGAGGAGCCTATAGGCAGGGCCTGATGACAGACATCATTTGGTTGGAAGACAACTGTCAGCCACAGCCTGGGGAACAGCTGTCCCAGCTATCTAGGTGTCCTTGGGGTCAGTTCAGGTGAGTGCCCAACCCCACTGGGGTGACAGAGTAACCACCTCAGCTGCATTACACAACACCCCCTCTCTCTGCTCACTGCCCTCCATTAAAAATTACTCTAAGTGCCCTGGCTGGGTAGCTCAGTTGGTTAGAGTATCATCCTGACATGCCAAGGTTCAGGTCCCAGTTAGGGCACATACAAGAAGCAACCAATGAATGCATAAATAAGTGAAACAACAAACCAATGTGTTTCTCTCTCCCTTCCTCTCTCAAATAATTTTTTTTTTTTTTTAAAAATCACTCTAAGACTTAGAGTCTAAGTGATGTAATGTAGAACATTAAGTTTCCACAAGTCTCAGAGGCTTGGTTCTGGTTGACCAACTTGAACATTTAGTTTCTTCTCTCTTCCTAAGCATACGCATGCCCACAATAAGCAAAGTGCAATTTTGTGTAAACTTTAAACCCTGCAGCTTCTGTGAAATTACAGACTAGTTCAGTAATTTCAGTTAAGAGATGATCTCCCTGAAAGTACTACACGGTGAGGCATACCATAGCTGAAAGTCATTGGCTTCAACTTTAAAGTACTTCTAAATTTTGTATTAATTACAAAATAAAACATTGTTATTGTAGAAAATCTAGAAAAAGCAGAGTAACAAAAAGAAAGCTAAATGCCCTGACCGGTTTGGATCAGTGGATAGAGCGTCGGCCTGTAGACTCAAGGGTCCCGGGTTCGATTCCGGTCAAGGGCATGTACCTTGGTTGTGGGCACATACCCAGCGGGGAGTGTGCAGGAGGCAGCTGATCGATGTTTCTCTCTCATCGATGTTTCTAACTCTCTATGCCTGTCCCTTCCTCCCTGTAAAAAATCAATAAAATATATTTTTTAAAAAAAAGAAAGCTAAAATCATCCATAATGACTCTCAAGAGAAACAAATGTTCCGTCTTTTCTTTTCCCCCTTATGTATTTGGATGAGGGAGGGGGGATTCACTAAATAGGATGAAACTGATAGGGCTTTGAACTGAGTAGCTTTTCGTATTTCTCTAAATATGACTTACTGAGAAGCCAATTGATAATCAAAGTATTCTTTCAAGGCACTTCCTGAAGTGCCCAAGGGTAGAGAAAAGATCCTACATGACAGGTGAACCATCTGTACTTCCCCGATACTGTCAGGACACTCTGTCCTGTACATGCTGGTCCCTCTGCCTGCAGCAGCCTCTCCCAGCCTTGTCCAGCAGAGCATCACTACCCATCCTTCAAGACCTAGCCCCAGTCCTGCACCCTGGCAGCAGGAGGTGTCCCATACCTGTGCTCTCAGCACGCCACTGCATTTCCATAGGGCAGTTGGCAAATGGCAGTGATTCCAGTGTGACTGGATATGTGCACATCCATAAACTGGATACTTCAGAGAGTCAGGACAGAAATTTTCTAGTTTATACACCCACCCCCTTGCAGAGGACACAATGAAGACAGGGTAGACTGGTGGTTGGAGTGTGGACAGTGGAGCTAGTCTGCCTGGGTTAGGTTGAATTTTGTCTTCACTGCTTACCAGCTGTGACCTTGGGCAAGTTACATCTCCTTTGTATTCCATGGTTTCTTCTTTAAAACAGAGGTGACATATGTAATACCCTTTGTAATACTTTAAGCAATAAAAAAATAAAATAAATAAAAATAAAAGTGTAGAAAGCCTAAAACCACTTTAGAAAAAGTTTATTAATTTAAACAATTAAATTCGGAAAAACAAAACAAAAAAATAAAACAGAGGTGAAAATGGTATTTGCCTCACAGGTCAATAAGGATTAAATTAACACATGAAAGTACTTTACAAGGTACCCAGAACAGGGTAAGCACTACATAAACTCTTGAAATTATTAAGTTAGTCATAAGAGCTAACCCACATATCTCCATGCTCCTTATAGTTCTCACAATCATTTTATTTTATTTATTTTTTTTAAATATATTTTATTGATTTTTTACAGAGAGGAAGGGAGAGAGATACCCCCACTGGGGATGTGCCCACAACCCAGGTACACGCCCTTGACCGGAATCGAACCCGGGACCCTTCAGTCCGCAGGCCGACGCTCTATCCACTGAGCCAAACCAGTTCCGGCTCTCACAATCATTTTACTCAGTTGTGAGGGCATCGAGGACTCATGACTAGCTCTTACTAGTTTACTCTGTACATGGCGAACAAATATGTGGTCCAGATTCCTCTCTGACTACAATAGAACACAGGCATTCATGTGAAACCAAGTTTGGATAACGCTGCCTCATTATTAAATGGAAATGCTATTATTGGACCAATTTGCTCACCCTATGTGGAGAATATTCATTACCCAAGAAGCAAGTTCTGCTGCAGAGCTAGTCTGCTTCAGGACAAGGGAAGACTCCGGACCATGCAATATTTTCTGAGTCAGCTCAGACCAACCAGATGGAACTAGGCTCAAATCTCACAGAAGCTGCTGGGTTTAAAGTTTACACATAAGTCTCCAATTACTTATCAAAAGTGTACTTCTGCCCTGACCGGTTTGGCTCAGTGGATAGAGCATCAGCCTGCGGACTCAAGGGTCCCAGGTTCAATTACGGTCAAGGGCATGTACCTTAGTTGCAGGCTCATACCCAGTAGGGAGTGTGCAGGAGGCAGCTGATCAATGTTTCTAACTATCCCTCTCCCTTCCTCTCTGTAAAGGATAGAGCGTCGGCCTGCGGACTGAAGGGTCCCGGGTTCGATTCTGGTCAAGGGCATATGCCCAGGTTGTGGGCTCCATCCCCAGTAGGGAGCATGCAGGAAGCAGCCAATCAATGACTGTTTCTCATCACTGATGTTTCTATCTCTCTCTTCCTCTCCCTTCCTCTCTGAAATCAATAAAAACATATTTTTTAAAAAGTGTGCTTCAAATCCTGGCCAGTGTGACTTGGCTGGTTGGAGCATCGTCCTGTACATCAAAAGGTGGCAGGTTCAATTCCTGGTCAGGGCACATACCCAGATTGCATGTTTGATCCCTGGCCAGGATGAGTACTGATCAATGTTTCTCTCTCTCTCTCTTCCTCTCTCAAATCAATAAAAACATTTTTTAAAAAAGATTCATTCCAAGGGGAGAGAGAGACACAGAGAAATAGGGAGAGGGCAGAGGGGGAGGGAGAGGGACAGGGAAAAGAAATGGAAGCCCCCGATGTTCAAATTATTCTGCTAGAAACAAGCTGAACTAAAAAAGGATGTACAACTCTGACACATTTCCTGGGCTTTAATGCTCCTAAAGAACATCCTATTTTAGATTATATTGTAAGAAGTGCTGACCTAAATATTCTAACTTTGAAAGTCCCAGAAAGGCATTTACTTGTTCATAGATTTACTTAAAGCTTGCTTTAAAAATATGCAACTCTTCATTCTTTAAACATCCAATGAATCGGGATTAAGATTTCCTCAAACGGAAATAGATAAGGCTTCCAGCTATGCCTAGGTCTGAATCACTTCAACAGAACAAAACGTGCAGATTTTCTTCTATGAGCAAAGGTACAGCCATCTGTCGCGCCAGCCATCCTCTGTTCAGGGAAACTGGTTCAGATTTGAAAGCAACAAGCAGCCTCAGCACAGCCTGACTCACATTAGCCAGCCGCAGATGGACTGGCTTCATACTCCAACTTATCTACCTTAACACAAAATAAAGCTTGCCTTCCATATATCCTCTCTGTCCTAAAACCTAAAACAAAACAACCCGATTGACAAGAGCTCTTCAGTTCTGCCTAAGCCCTGAAAGACCTCTGAAAGGCAATCTTCAGACTATTGAAAACATTTAAATAGAAAATAAAATTCTAAGAAAGTCTGTGAGTAAATTAAGCTCTCTGAACAAAACATTTAATCTTATTTGTGTGCTTCTCTATAAAAATCGTTCACACTTAAAAAAAGTATTGCTGCCTTTCAGTAGGTACAAATAATAAAATATAAGTGTGAGATAAGAGAACAATTAAAAGCTATTCTGGTATAAAGAACCTTGGGCTTGGAGGCCAGATGTCTGGGTCTCCCCCATTTGTGTGTGACTCCCCTGGTTGCATGGCTACAGGCAATTCCTTTGTCCCTTCTGAGTCTCTATCCTGATCTGCAGACGTGATGAAACTTCTCAACCCAAAGGCTGAGAGAACCGTCCCAGTCGGTGCCTGAGAACGGAGACGTCCGCCCACGTGTCCGTGCACTGCCTTCCCTGGGAAGTTTGCAGGGACCTCGAGAGCCCTGCGATGAAGAGCTAGAAAGGCGCTGCATCAGCTCCATCCGAGGGTACAAAACTGACTGCTTATGGGACTAAATGTCCCACTCTCTCCCTCACCTTGACGCATCCGCCGCTGTTCTGTTTAAATAAACATACTCATTCCCGGTCTTGAGCAATCCTAACCTAGAGCTGGACTTTCAGAGACCACAGAAGACAACCGGCCAGAGCCAGCGGCGACTAAGGAGCCCTCCCGGCCACTTACAAACGGGGTCTTCCATTTTCAAGGGCCTTTTCAAACGGATGCTCGCGGGGACCGTCTTCTCCATCAATTCATCAATGCTCTAGAATTAAAACGCGAGACGGTGAACACGAACGCGGGAGGAAAATGCTTCGGAATTAAAAGAGTCGCCTCTGTGTGTTGCATCTGCAAAGACTTGTGGGAACCTCATTTAAGTCGCCTAATTATGGTTCCTTTTTTAAAAAGGAAAGAACAACTTTGAAAAAAACAACTAGAAATCGCTTGGAGCAAAGAAAATGAAGTGGGGTAGTGATTGGGCCACTCCGGGTTGGATTGCAGTCGGCAACGGGAGATAATCGGATAAACTAGGAGTTCCTCCTCTCTCCAAGTTAGGACTCATCAGTTAGGGGCGACTTGGGTTGGAAAAAAACAAACGGTTTTGAAGCGCGAAGAGAAAATACGCGGGCGGGAGAAGGCTGGGGTACGGAGGACCGAGCGCGCGGACTCGCTTCCACTCCAGGGCCCGGCACCGGGACGCGGGTCCCACCCGGAGCCAGGCA